ACAATAATGAAAGTTTGAAGAATGTTTGACTTTGAATTCAGATCCATTTTTAATGACAAAGAAAGGGTAAAGTTCCTATCAGAAGCATGATGATAAGGAACTGTGCAAAAAGAGAAGAAAAAAGTTTAATTTAAAACTGGAAGATTACATATTTAATATTTTCTGTACAGATATTGATGAATGTAAGGTCATGCCAAACCCATGTAGAAATGGACAGTGTATTAACACTATGGGCTCCTTCCGATGCTTTTGCGAAGTTGGCTATACCACTGACATTAGCGGCACATCTTGTATTGGTAAGATTCAGCATCTTAATTCTCAGTTATGTTTTTTAATTGGTACATAATGACATATCAACCTCTGTAAACCTTTGTATCAAACCAGTTTTTTCTTTTTCTCTCTTTTACCTCTTTTCTATCTTTCTTTTCCTAATATGCACTTCTATTTTTGTATTTAATTTGGGAAAATCAAGAAACAAGCTGTAGTGGCAATATTCCTGCAGTAGAATGAGCACTGAAATACATTTCAGCTGTATAAACATTTTGACTGACAAACCAGCTCATTATTTCATGGTCTACATTTTCCCACTTTCCTGTTGGTTAACACCTATAAGTATACCATAGTATGCCCAAAGATAAATACTTAGATTAAAATACTAATGCCACTCTCACTTTAGTATAACTCTTTCAAGACACTCGGTTTGTCACTGTAGTGGCAACTCCATAGAAAGTCCACAGCAACACATCCATAGAGAAAGAAAGAGGAACTCTGAACAAATGTGAACTGAGGACTTTTTCTACAAACATTTTTCTCTTAAATATAGTGCTGTTTAGAAAATACCTTTCAAAGACAAAGAAATCAGTGTAATAGATGCTTAACAGTTTCTCTCTTTAGATCTTGATGAATGCTCTCAGTCTCCTAAACTATGCAATTTTATCTGCAAGAACTCGGAAGGGAGCTATCGGTGCTCATGTCCTCGGGGATACATCCTTCAAGAAGATGGAAAGACATGTAAAGGTAAAGAAAGTGATACACAGTGACTTTTAATTTTGTTGCACCATGACTGAAAAGGAAATTGTTTTGAAATGTGGTAATTTTATCAAGTTAGACTAAATGTACATCTTTTTTTTGTTGACTTTTCTTAAGGCAACATCTCTTTCTTTCAGATCTTGATGAATGTCAAACCAAACAACATAATTGTCAATTTCTCTGTGTCAACACCCTTGGAGGCTTCACATGCAAATGTCCACCTGGTTTTACACAACATCATACAGCTTGTATAGGTAAGAAACACAGTAGTTTTCTTGCATGAGTTTTTCTATAAGGACAACATTCTCAATTCTCATTCATGTCTTTTGCTCTGTATGAACTGTAATAATGCAGAGCAATAAGGTCAGCAGTCCAGAAACAGATTTTGAAAAGCAACAATTATAGCTAAAGCAAAAGCAGTCTATCTACCATTTGTATTTTCTTGCTTAGTAAACAGTTGTACATATTTAATACATGTTATTGTATTCCAAGTATAACCACATGGAGACAAAGGGGTAAAGTATTAAAATCTGATTTAAAATGTAGTTAAACAAAACAGACTGCATTTTCTTTTTTAATAAATACAGATGTCTTTAGATCTTAAGCATATGTCTTGCCAACTGAAACTATTTTAGTTCAGCTAAAACAGAAATGCAGCATTTTTCCACTATCACCAATTAGATACCTTTCACACTTACAACTGAATTACAATTTGCACTTCCAATTTATTACTCATAGCTCTGCAAGAGTTGTCAGGTCATCTGACATTTAAATATGAAAAGCTGCATTTTCAAAATAAACTGTTGCAGCTCTGTGGATTTCAGCCTCTTATATATGAACATTTCTAAAATCCTGCTACAAGGTACACCAACCTTCTGTCTCTCCTCTGCATTTTTAAGATAACAATGAATGTGGTTCTCAGCCATCGCTCTGTGGATCAAAAGGAATTTGCCAAAACACTCCTGGAAGTTTTACCTGTGAATGTCAAAGGGGATTTTCTCTGGATTCTACTGGATTAAACTGTGAAGGTAGCTAGCAAAGGTCAAAATTTTTTATGGTGCAAATCCTTACTTCTGTGTCCAGTGAAGCCTGTGATGTCAAAGATAGATAAAACAGGGCACCAGCCATAGTAAAAGTAAATACCAAAGAGAAATAGGAATGTGTTTGAGTAATTTTAAGCATAATTCTATATAAGAACATACTGCCTGAGTAATTCTTACAGAAATTAGAATAAAAGTGACTTTTTAGCTGAACTTTTTCCAGGCTGCCATTTCATCTTCACATAGGTTTATGCATCTAAGTCTAGTTGTTTCTTCTTTTTCATTTTCATTTTCATACAGTCTAAACACAATCTCTCTACAATTGTGTTTCAGCTAATGTAATCATCCACCTGAGGGTATCTAAGATTAGATTCTAAATTCGTACTTTAACTCTTCTACCATAGACATACACATTCAGAAGTTGAGCTCCATCTGTCTTTGTTGGCCCCAAGGGAGCCCCAATCAGGAAATCTCTATCTGAAAGCTCCAGACTCTTCCATGGGCCTCAGATATTGAGCAAAGAAGAAATTAAAATGTAGTACTAGGCCATCTGGCTGCTGAAAATTAGAAATGCAGAGGTATACACACACAATGTTATGACATCTCAAAATGTCAGCTACCTTGATACAGCATTTAAAACAGGAATTGATATTTAAAGCCTATTTCTAAAGTAACAGTGCAGAATGTGTGCAGCCAGAAGTTTTAGAAAGCATTATCTTCTGTCAGATTACTTCATTCTCATAAAGTAGATTCATCCTTATTGTGTGCTTTACCTAGCACCTGTGAAACAAAACACTAAATTATACATATCGAAGCATTCACAAGACACGTACACAACTAGCACATCAGAACTGCTCTGTGTGCCCTTACTGATAATGACGGTTTTCAGTTCCTGGTCCAATGGTTTTCTGCACCTCAGGCTTTGGAACATCACAGTTCCATTAAACGTGTTTCAAACTGTGGACAACTAGAATGTAACTTAGAGTCTGTGATATCACGCATGTTTTTTTTTATTTTCTAGTAGAACTGCATACCGTAGCTGACACATTAGGCTGCTTACATTCTACTTGTTTCTTATAGCAGACACTATTTCAGATGACTGAGTGTTTTACGTATTGTTTTTTCTTTGTGGATTTCTCATTCATTTGCATATACCTCAGAGATTTTTTAAGATGGGTTTTTCTTTTTAATTGCAAAGGTAAGAACTTGCATCCAAATTTGGTATGTATTCCTCATACTCAAACACTCAATATGTTCCAGGAAACTGAAAGCTTAGTCCTACATAGTTGGTTTGAAAACTGAAATAAAAAACCATTCAGATTCTAAACATTACATCAAAGCTACATCATGTGGGACTACCAGGAATAGTATTTCTTCTCCAAATCTGAGTAATGTAAAGGCTCAAAAGCTCCAGTCAGATTACTAATAGATAGAAAGAATATTACATTAATTGACTTTCAGGCTTTCCAAAAGACCAGCCTGAATGGTGCTTTCATCTTACAGCAGTACTCTTCTGTCACAAATACTAGTGTTTCAATGGTTATGATCAAAGTGAGAAACATATTTAGCAATGTGTGTAATTGTGTGTTCTTTCATGTTCTACTTCTCTCCCAATTGCAAAGATGTGGATGAATGTGATGGAAACCATAGGTGCCAGCATGGCTGTCAAAACATCCTGGGTGGATATAGATGTGGATGCCCACAAGGATATATTCAGCATCACCAGTGGAATCAATGTGTTGGTAAGGAAACAAGCAGCACAAAATACATTTAAACAGCAAAGGCGTCATAGTGTTTATAGTGAGGTGAGGACAAGAATGGGCAGGACAAAGGGTATGCAGACACAAATCTTGTTCTCCTCTCTCCCCCTTCTTTCATTCACTTATTACTCCCAACATAAATCACTGATATAAGGTAACAGGAAAACACACTCATCCTGTTGAAACTCTGTGTGACAAAGAGTTTTCCTAGTAAGGCCTAAATCCTGACTCCCTTGTCCTTGGAAAAATCCCCATGTTAGAAAGGTCGAAAGGTGTTCTTTGAATTCCTGAAAGCAGGACAAAAACCCACAAACCCTCAAAAAAACCCCAAAACCCCCTCAACTTTCATCAGTAAGAATCACCATCTGTATAGCAATTTGAGAATACTACAGAATAGCATCTATAACGAATGGGGAGAAAAAATTATCAACATAGCCATTAAGGGTTTCCTACTTCCAAAATACAGTCTTAAGGCCCACATTAGTTCTTTGGGCAGGGAACAGGGAAAAATTAATCAGCTCAGCAGTTTTACTGTAGGTTTAGCTCATTCAGTCCATTTCTTTTCTGTGTTTCATGAACTAAGCTAAGTCCCCTACCAAATGAAATGTAGGATTTTTAAATTTTTTTAAATAAAAACCAACACACACCCAAACAACCACATCCTGTACTGCTCACAAGGCACCATAACAACATCTTTACCTTTTCAAGTTTGCTTTCCTGGTTCTCTGTCAATGGTGTCATAATCAGGGGATGGCTGTGAACACTGCCATATGTTTCTTATAGGTTGATCTTAGTGTCCTGATCCTAGGCATACAAATTTTACAATAAGTAGCACACCAGGCAGTTTTCCTGAAGTCTCAACCACCAGCATCACTCCCTACTTAATACTGCTCTTATTACTAGTTATTAATACAGCAAAGAAAGCAAAGATGGGAGTGACAGGAACACACAACAAAGAACTCCCACAAAACTGCAAAACAGCTACAGCATCTGATTATCACTGAAATCCGGGAATAAACCTCGTAACACCAATGTAGTGTTAAAAGGCAGGCATTCTTTATTGCAGCGCTGGATGCACGGGGGATAGCTCCACCCAACGTGCACGCCAGGTGATCACCAACACACAAGTTATCTAGGATCAAAACATACATATTCATCATCTTTCTCAGAAAAGGCAGTCCTATGATAATCATTTCTTAGGATCCATTTCCATATTCCCCTCCCTGTCACGCATGCTCAGTGATTTGAGTCGGTGGTCCTCAAGGGTCTCTGGTGGTCGTAGTGGTCTTGCACCTGTGTCCGCTGGGTGACCCTCTTCTTGCGGGCATGCACAATACCCTTGCTGTGGATGCACCTGTCCATAACGACTTCATAAGTTTAATATCTCCAAACCTATTGTTCAGTTTGGTAGGGACTGTAGATGGAACATAGCAGCATTGTACCTTGCCATGGTCAGTTAGCTTCATTACCTGTTACCTTGGTTACAAACTAATTATCTCAACCTGATTCTATAGTTTCTGTTTCACGGCCCCTATCCTACGGTTACATGATTACAGATAGTCCTCAAAAGAATGTCTCCTAGTAACTGCAGGAAAGAATGGTAAAGCATGTGCTAATGGTATTGGAGAGGGAAACACCTACAGGGAAGCACTACCTTGGTAAGGTAAAGAAATAAGCAAAACGTGCCAACTAACAAAAGCATGATCTTCCATACAACAAGCTACTTTCCTCACTCATTTTTCACAATATAGCCTGGAACCAAATCAATCACACTGACTGGAGGAGTCATCTTCTCTGTATCTTAATTCAATACCCACAAGGTGAAGACAATGCTTCCTTTTCTCTTTCTTTTTGGTTGGCTATTTAGATTGTCTTTTGCCCCACAGAGCCTGCAGGTTTCCACAAGTATGTGCTAACTTCGCCCCGTCACTAGGTGCCCAGGAACATTGTCAAGGTATGACTGGAGTTGCAGCTCATTTCTCCTCTGTGGGCTGTAGGAGTGTACCCTGCCAGGGGAAAGAGGACCCCTAAGCAAAACAGCAGATGTACCTTGAAGAAAAGGGGAGCTTTATGTCAGTATAAGGTTACCAGTAACAGTATCCTAAAATACCATTACAGTCTAGCTATATGTGTTTGGGACCTTTGCCAATGTGCTTTCTTCAGTGATCAAGTCTCTGTGGGGTCATGAAGTTAAGGATGTAACAAGAGACCTAGGACTTGCAGATATTCTGATTTGTTAGCTACATCATACTTGCCTGAGTCTATCAGATTATAAGATGCCAATGTATTTTTGTTTGCTTACTAGATGAAAATGAATGCTCCAATCCTAACGCATGTGGTTCTGCTTCTTGCTACAACACACTTGGAAGTTACAAGTGTGCCTGCCCATCTGGATTTTCTTACGACCAATTCTCCGGTGCATGCCATGATGTGAATGAGTGTTCTTCCACCAAGAACCCCTGCAATTATGGTTGTTCCAACACTGAAGGTGGTTATCTCTGTGGCTGTCCACCTGGCTATTACAGAGTTGGACAAGGGTGAGTATCTCTACACAGTCATTCATCAAAGACACATTCAGAAGCCTATAAAAACACTGGACCCTAGTGAGACTGAAAAGCAGAGGTGCAAATGAAGGACAGGCTACTGTCACCGAAATCCGGGAATAAACCT